GCTGGCTGGGGAATTCTGGGAGTTGAAGTCCTCCAGGCGTAAAGTTGCCAAGGTTGGACACCCCTGTACTACAGCATTGACCACATATTTTCAAAGAGCTTTATTAGTGGAGGAAAGAATTAAGGATCGTTAAGTGAGACTGAACCTATAAGCCCATCAAACAGCTAACTGCTTAGGATTCTCTGCAAAGGTCCAAAAAGGATCCAGTTGCTCAAGCGAGGCACAACTTGTTACATCCCTCGATCCAATGAAGGACCATCACATCTCCTTCGGAGATCACCGAGGGCGACCTTAAAGCCCCAAAGAGACCAAAACAGAAGGGCCGGCTTGACATTGATAAGACGTGTCCAGATTTTTTTTTTTTCCTCCGAGGTGTCAATCATCGCCAGGACGGGATAATGATGAGCCGCGGCTGACAGCTTCGTCCCGAGAACCCCCCCGTTATTTTGTTTTTTTTTTGGAAAGAGATGGGACTGTAATTCCACGGATTGTGAAGAAAAGGCTCATAGAGGGACCGGCGGGTGGGTGAGGGCTCACATGGAGTTCCTCTTTCCCGGGTGGGCTCGGACCCAGGACGAAGAGCCTCCCAGGCGGAGCACCTTCTCCCGGGTCGAGGGACCCCGGCAGGCCTTGGGGGGGAGGACACCTTCCTGACGGGCCCTGAGCCGGGGGAGGGGAGGGAGGGAGGCCGGGCGGGAGCCTCACGACCAAAGCGGGCAGGCCCCGCCCAGAGGGCTCCCTCCCCCTCCCCACACCATCCATCCCCCACCGCCAGGATCCTTCGCCCCCAACAGCCAGCTCGATCCCGCTCGGCTCGTAAGCCCGGTAAAAGACCCAGGCCGGGATTCCCGGCCGCTCCCAAATGGCCGCCGTTACCTGTCAGCCGTACCGAGCCGGCGTCCCGGAGCAAGCCCGCTTTCCTCGCCCCGCTACAAACCCTGCCCGCTCGGGCAGCGCCTCTTCACCTCGGCCAGCGGCTCCCCGCCCGCGCCTCCAGCCGCGGCGCAAAACGCGGATCCAGGCAGGCTCCGCCCCTCTCGTCGCTAGCCCCGCCCGCTGGCGTGTGACGCTCCGGCGAGGCTCTCCCCGCCCTTTCCGAGTCTGCCCGCCGAGCTGGGTGGGGGCGGAAATCAATCGGCCGGTCGATCAGTGCCCGGCACGCTCAGCCCACTCCCTGCTCCCCCGCCTCCTTTTCCCGAATGTCGACTCACCTCGGCCTTCGCTCGCGGTAGCGCTTCACGCCCCACCCACCCAAGCCTACCAATCACGAGAGGCGCGTGGCGCTCCTTTTCCCCCCCTCCCCTTCTCGCTCTCACCTTTAGACCAATAGAAGCTCGCTGCCGAAACGTTCTCCCGCCTTCTCCGAGAAGGCCCGGGCGGCACCCAGACACGTCCCGGATGCTCCCTTTCCTATGCCAGTCCTTCCATGCTCCGCCCCCGAGCGCGAGAGGCGGTCCGGCGCAAGCGCAGTCCGCCCGAGCGGGAAGTTTGCCTGCTCTTTTATCTTATGGGAGTCCAAGGCGGGCTCTCGGTGGCCTCGGGCTTAATTTATCTTTTGCTCGGGCGGGTGGTGCCCTTAACAGCTGCCTTGTAGGGACTGGATAAAAGGGGCTCTCAACGATCGTCCCTTCTCCTTCAGAGCTGCCATTCCAAATTCCTTCGGTTCCTTTGCGTTCAAGGAATCCTACTTTCACGTAAGTTGATAAAACGTCTTATGCAGTTTGCTCAGCTAGATAGCAAACAGGCTGATCCTACTAATAAAGGAGAATATTTGTGGCTCAGGGTTGGAATGAGGGGGTCCTTGGTGCTCTCTGAACTTGCTTATCTTGCAGGCATTTCATGACCCAAACTAGGTCATCAGTGCTAGTAAGAATGTAATATAAACCAGAGTTGAAGAAGCTTCTTGGATGAGAAGCGAAACGTCTTCAAAGAAAAACCAGAAAGTTTTATTAGGAAAAGTCAAGTTCTGGAAAAAGAACAAAATTTGTGCAGAGCTTCTGTTGGATATCCTGCTCTGTTAATTCTGAGGAAATACCTTCACGTTAGTTCTTTGCAATATTTGGGATTCCTATTGGTTCAAATGTATTAATGGAACTTACCTTTTGCTATTGGTATCTTATGGTTTATCACTTGTTGTTTGTATCTTATGATTTATAATTGATGACTTATCATTTTGCTGTTTGTATGTACACTGAGAGCTTATTCCTTGTGTGTCCAAACACACCGGGCCAATAAAGAATATTCTAATTCTAATTCTAATATATATATTTTTGGAGGGATGTCCAAGGTAGAAATGGCAAAAGATGGAAATGGCAACACCAGTGACACACCCAATACGTGGTTTGGACAGGTCAGTATATCATTGCTTTTAATTAGTTTGCTGCCCATCTTCTCAGGGATGAAACATTGTGCAATATTTATTAAGGATAAGAATATGGTTTCTACATCATCGTAACAAATTTGGAGCAAACCTAGACATTTTAATGGGAGCAGGCCTGGATGAAAATCAGGTTGGCACTAATCAATCTTTCTGAAATAATCCCAATGTATTTTGTATCCTATGCAGAAAAAGTGAAGCTCAGGTATTATTGAGATTATTTTACAAAGAAGACTTTGTACAATTTTGAAGTTTGAGGGTTTGGGTCTTTTTTTGGATTAATTCATAAATTGTTCCTTGGTGAGGAATACTAGGCAATATGCTGATACAATTATCTCTTCAACTTGCATTAAGATAGCGAGACTTCTGGAGTGAACTCTAAAAGATGTTACTTTTATCATTTTATAATTTATGACAGTATCACTACAGGGCAGTTTATTCTTTCAGAAAAAGACTTAAGTATGAGCAAATTAAAGCTTGAAATGGAAAGAACCGGAAGAGGCAAGAAGACAGCAAGGTGATTAAATCTGTTGATTTTTGTGTTTGTGTGAAGTGCCAGTACACAGCAGATGAGTATCAGGCTGTTCAGGCTGCTCTGCGGCAGAGGCTGGGTCCAGAATACATCAGTAGCCGACAAGCCGGAGGAGGACAGAAGGTACAAACCTGAGATTAAGAGCTTTCCTTTCCTTTGTACTGAAAAGCATCCTTTTAACCCCAGAGATGTGACCCTGACAGGTTTGGAGTAACTTGTGAAGATGCTTTAACACTTTTTTTATAAAAAAAAACTTGTACTGTATAGCTGTCAACAGCTAGCCTCACCCGACCAGATTGTTGAGAATCGGTACTAACCTTCAGGCTGCCAAATTAGAACTGCTGACCAGAGATTTCAAGAGAAAAATAAACGTAATCCTGGGCAAAATGGCTCTAAATGCCAGGTTTTTAGTACAATGTTGTATTTTGTGTGTACGGGTAGTCCTCCACTTACGACCAAAATTCCTGTTGCTAAGTGAGAAATTTGTTTTGCTCCATTTTGCGGCTTTTCTTGCCACATTTGTTAAGTGAGTCTCTGCAGTCGTTAAATGAGGCACACGGTTGTTAAGTGGATCTGGCTTCCCCATGGACTTCATGGTCAGGTTGCAAAAGGGTCCAGATGACCCCGGGGCACTGCAACCATCATAAATGTGAGTCAGTTGTCAAGCATCCGAATGGGGGTGCTGCAACGGACATAAGTGTGAAAAACGGTCGTGAGTCACTTTTTTCAGTGCCGTTGTAACTTTGAACGGACACTAAGCATATTGTTGTAAGTCCAGGACTGCCTATTTTGCCTAACTAGCTGACCAAAGCATCTCATGTTCTGCGGCACTGAATCTTGAACAGCTTTTCACACATTTAAAGGAGCATGACGCATATAATGCTCAATCCCACCCTTGTTCCCTATATATCCCATCCCACACTCTGGCCTAGATTTTGAGAAATTACCAGCTTTCTCCTCCTGAAATAGAATCCATTTGATCACTTTAATATTTATATATAGCTGTCATGTACAGAGCAATTTACGTGAAAACAGTGTCTGTCTCCAAGTTGGTAAACATAAAAAGTAATCCCTGTTAAAATGTATTTTGCTACCTGCTTCTTTATGGTTTTTCCTGTGCTACATCACTTATAAATTATATTACATAGCAATAGATCCCTTTTGAAAATGAGATAAAAATGGATATTTGATAGGCTACAGTAGAACATATTTCCTTTCTTTCTGGTCTCAGGTTTGCTACATAGAGGGGCACAGAGTCATCAGCCTGGCCAATGAAATGTTTGGATACAATGGCTGGGCTCATTCTGTCACTCAGCAGAACGTTGGTGAGTCCAATAAGAACTTGTTTCGGTTGAAAAATGTGAGCAAAATATTCTCACCGTAAAGGCAATTCTGATAAAATGCAAAAGAAAAGGTTGGGAGTTTTGCAATACTGCTCTGCTCGTGGAAGCTTCTTTGAACTGGTGATAAGATTTCCACGTGG